AATAAAAAATAATAAACTTCTTTAACTTTTTCAATTCTTATGTGACAATTTTCGTAGTTTTCATGAATTTAAATTTATATTTAGACACTTAGTATTTTTTCTTTAATTTTAAATATTATTCAAAGAATTCTGTTGAAAAATTATAATTAAAATCGGTTTTGATTAAGATAAAAAGTTTTATTATCAATTTTCATAATTAAAACATAAAATTAAGATATCATTTTTAATACTTCTAGTTTTTATACATTTAATCACTAGAACTCTTTTTCTATAGCACAAGAAACGTTATCAGCCAGAAACTTTAGTACAAGAAATATATCAGAAATTTTATAATATTCTAAGAAAAAGCTATAATTTTAATCAGTTACATTAAAACTTGGAAAACGGGGCACTAATTTCATAGAAACAAGACGCTCAGATGAAAAATCGCGCGTAACTTTTTCTAACAATTCATAAGAATTTATAATGTATATTATTTTTGTTGTGTACCACGTTTATTTAGAAAATGTAACATATTATTAATTAATTAATTAATTGTGTAGACAATAATATTAATAGGCTTTCGCTGTTGTTCCATTTAAGATATAGCTTGTAGCTTTAGAACCACCGCTATTTCCCATATGCTCACCCAAAAGCATCCAATAAAGGTGAGCTTCATGACTGATCGTTAATTTAATAAATGATGGGAACACGCCGTTAAACTCGCAAGCACATTGTGGAGGATAAAGTATCAGGAAAGACTTACAATCGACAGACAACACTGTCTGTCGCCGCGTCGACGTTTACGATAATGAGTGTCCAATACTTGCGTGATATCGATAATGTGCCATTGCTGACGTATACATCAATTTATGCAAGTTTCGCGCGTATGTAGTTATAATTACATGTACATCAATTATTGGAGATGCTGGTCTGCAGGTCGCAATTTTAACAAAACGCCTCGCCGCGACATTTTTGCAAATTAAAACATCTCGCGTTGTACATGTCTATGTATAATAATCCTTCAGACTGAAGAAGAGAACGATGCAACGATGAATCAACGAATATTATGCTGTTTATTCGTACGTATTACCTACATAGTCGAAGACTTCGTTCAATCGAGCTTTCTTCACGATTATATTACGTTGCTTCCCCGAACGTGTTTTTAATCCAAAGTTTTGTATCAGTTTCGAGATACAGGAAAAGAGATAAAGAAAAAGAGAGGGAAAGAGAAAGAAGAGAGAGATGACGGGGTTGCATTTATGTGATCGTTCGATAAAGGGCGTTCGTTCGCCGAACCTCTCTCCTCGCTGCCAATATAACCGATTTTAGTGCCTCGTGAAACCAAGATCCTTTTCATTAAAGCTTTTACTGCTGACTAAATACGGCGGACTGCGGCGAAGGGCCGGGTAAAGCGGGGCAGAATATACGAATGAGGACGGGTGGGAGGAAGTTCTAATCCCCCGAATGTTAACTTGGATTACGTGCAAACCGACCGACCTTCTCCCTTTACCACGGCCGGCTAATAAAGACTGGAGTAGTGTGCATAGTAACCTATTCAATTGAAAGTACAGATACACCGGATGATCGAGCAAACGTCCGCGAGCACGACGAGACGAGATTCAATCGATATTGGATATTTCTATATCGGATTGAAAATTGAATAACTCGTACGGTAGGTCAAAGTATCCTCAAAAATTGACAGTAAAATGTCCGTTAGCAGAGAAGAATTCATCCGATTGACGAATGGAAAGAAGTCGATCGTATAAACGTAAAATCTTAAGAATGCAATTTTACATAAACTTGCAATATTTAAAAAAAAAAATGTAAGAACAGGTATATTTTGAGAAATTGTAGCCTAGCTGTTAGAAATTCGAGCATTTACATATTATATAATATAATATTATATTATATAAATTATTCTTATATTATATAATATTAAATAAATTATTCTTTATAATTCATACTTATTTACTTATTTCTCAGTCATTTTTGCCTTTCCTCATATTTACTAGTGCAAACTCGAGAAATAAACGGGAAAAAACAAAAAAAAAAAAGAAGAAGAAGAAACTTTATAATCTTCCATGCTTGAACACGTAGCGATCCTATTATGTTACGCAATGGAACGAATAAAATCCCATGCATCTTGATGGTCTTATTCATTTATTAAGTTCGTTATTTAGTTATATTCGAGAATGCACGCGGTGTGTCGGTGTACTCATCAACTGAACGCCAAGTTACTTTATTTCGTATCATTGGATCGCTGTTTAAAGAAGCATCGTTTGTGCGTCAGTGTGTGCTTTAAAAGACGAGGTCGTCGGTGCAGAACGTCGAAGAGAGACTATACGCGTCCAGACGGCGACGTCGTCGACGGCGCCAAGCGCCGTGCTAACTAGCACCCCTAACACACATATATACACATACCCACGCCCTTTATTAAACGTCGCCATCCCCGTCGGCACCCCCACGCGTCCTCCTTCATAAAATTGAACACGACGTGTACACCTATACGCACTGACGACGACATACCCACGGTAGGGAAAGAAAACGGACGTGCTCGGCAAAAATCAGAGCGAGAAGACGAAGAGACTCGCGCGACGGTCATTAAGCCCGAAGCTTTTTATTCTGATAGAACGACCTGTCGATTTGCGCGAATTTAAGTGTACTATTCACACGCGTCGCTTTTTATCGAAATAATTCAGTTTTTTCGATAAGAAAAATTTTTTTAATACTCCGATATTTCTACGTTTTATTAATTATGTTTCGTCAATATAAATATAACTAAATATTTAAAAAGTAGGTATTAATTGCATATAGATTTTAATTTTAAAATGATAAAGTATCAGACTATACCAAATTTTTCTTTCCTTTACTATAGAAAATATATAAAGAATCTGTATTAAGTATCCTCGCTCTTAATGATATCTTTTGATAGCTCTATTTTACAAAAAAATAATATACATTTAAATTTAAAGACATATACATATAAAGCAACATTTCGTAATGAAAAGATGTATCTAATATAACTTTTTAATTTTTATATATATATTTTCTATATGTATATTTCTGTACATTTTATATTAATTTTTTATTTACGTTTCTTTTTTTACAAAGAGGATCAATATTTTCTATATATTCAATATTTCAATATTTTTTTGACCTCATATTTAGCTTTCTTTCATCCAAAATAATGTTTTATAGTGTTTTTTATCGTACACTTTTTATATTGTATTAAATCTCAATGACAATTATTCTTTTACATTGCATATCAATTAAATTTAGAAGCTAAAAGATCATCAATCAATATATCAGAATATCTTTTTTATTTTAACTAAAAAATTGTGGTCATTTATAGAAACAATAGCGATCTACATTTAGTCGCTATTATTCCATTACTTGTAACCAGAGTCGAGCACTTGTGACCCATCTCGAATGACTAACGATCTGATGAGATGGAGAATGATTGATATCGGACATACATATATACACTCTTCACTATTAATTAACTTTACTAATACGATAACGGAACAGTACACAAGTTTCTCGTGTAATTTATTAATGAAATGCTATGCGATATCATTATAATTTGAATATATTATGTTCATATATTGTATGCGTAATAAAATATCAAATTAAAAAATATAGAAATTATGCGTTTCGCGGGTTATCTCTGTGTTCAAATCCACTTTTAGAATGTCAATGTTTCGTGAACATTCACTTCATCAGGGCAAAGAACAGCCTGATAATATAATACGCGAAATTAAATTACGCATAATTTCTGTACAGAAAGTGCCCGTGGAAGCCTCAAGAAAGTTAAATAAGAAATATAACACATATAAAAACGATGAAGGATAATATTGATCCTGAAATTTGGATCGACTAACGTCTAATTACAGAGCTACGTAGCAATTCAAAATCAAATGATTCTGGTGAATTAAACTTTGGGGATAAACTTGTAATAACCTTATCCACCTATTACGTTACAGGTAAGATTAACCCGACGAACGCAATAGCTCTTAAATAGATCGTATTAAATTATTTGACTATTAATAATACGTGCCAAAGAGGAAATTACTAGGAATGCACCGGATCGTAAAATTACCGGATATCCGAGCAGAATGTAACATCAGATATCCGAGAAGACAATTTCTTCGTGTCGAATATCCGACATTTTCCGGATATGCGACCGGATTCTGAAAAAATCTTATAAAAAAAAAGCCTATAGGGAAAAAAATTGTAATTTTGCGACAATGTATAAGATATAGCATCATGAATATGCATTTCTAGAACATATATGTATAAGAAAAAATCAACAATTTAATAATATCAAATTTTAACTGGATACCTCCCTGGATAATAGTGATATCTGACTGTTCGGTCGGATAGTAAAAAAGTGCTAGATAATACCGGATATTTTCTGGATATCCGGTGTATCCTTAGAAATTACATAAATAACGACAATGAAATACATTTAAAATAGTACATACGTGCTTTCATATTGTCGCATATTCATTGCATATTCATTGAGTAAATATATTGCAAAGAACCATTACAATTAACGAATAACTAACTACAAATTTTAATAATTTACGGATAAATATCAAAGGGGAAAATATCAATAATTTACGGATGAATATCAAAGGGAGATATAAGATGTCTTAAAGATATTACATCTTTAATAACCCTAGTATCTCAGATAGCACAAGACGTTCAAAAATAATTCAGTCATATGTCATCAATTTTGAGTTCATTTTTAGATGCAAAAAGAATTCTTTTTTGCATCTAAAAGTGAACTTATAATTAATGACATATGACAGAATTCTTTTTAAATTCTTTTCGAACTCTCTATGCTATTTGGGATTGCGTGCTTAAAACCGACAATTTTTCAAAGTCCATTATGACCTCTAAGATGAAGACTGCGCGGATTAAATATCGACCCTTTACCGGTTTGTTAAGCGCCTTCACCCTCGACTTTCTAAATTTAGTCGACTCGATCGTTCGATGCCATTCTTTTTACTTACCCCCGAGCGAGTCCACCGCCAGCCTAATCGTGTTAATTTTGTAGCCGCTGGTTCCTTTGAAACTGTGTGGATGGGGTTCTCCGCACTGTTCCCTTTGATTCCCGTGCCACACCGCCAGTGATTAACCTGAGGGAAAAAGGTGTGTAAATAAACTTTTACTCCATGCACTCTTATTTCTGTTTGTCATGGCTGTGTCAAATAGCAAATTCACGAGGTGGATTCTTTGATGCGGGGACAAAATTGATTTCTCTTTTTTCTGAAAGTCTAAGAAAAGAGCGCTGCAGTTAATTACGTTCAGTAATTATCACGAAGTAAACCTTCTAATAAACCTTAACACACGGTTTCTTATTATATTTATTTATGCTTGTCATAACAGCAATCACAAAGAAGGGTACAAATTCAACATGGTTTTCGATAAAATTTATATTGAAAAAATATAGAATAATTTTTATTCTTAATTGATCAATTTGACAAAAAATATTTTTATAAAGAATTGCGTTGCTATAATTATTATACGCAAAAAACAATTTTGCTGAAGTAGCTAAAAATTTAACTAAATACAAATTTGAAAGTAATTGTTGGGCCATATGAAACAACATAAAGTTCAAAAGTTGAGACATCAGATGTCTCAGGCCGGGTTGCAATCCACGTTATTTTTAATGTTTGGACGTCATTTTAATTGTCACATGCGTCATAAGAATGACTAATTAACGACGTTAAATAGACGACATCTTGCTACCTGGGATGTTAGTGAATTTTTAGAGATTGTTTGAACCATTTTAAGGTATGTTCAGATTCCTACCCGAATGCTACCCAGGTGTCATATCATCCTTGTCTAATGTATTATAAACAACAAGAATGGAGTGATACATGGGTCATGGGTAACATTCGAATAAGTATCTGAATAGGTGAAAAAAACGGACGGATTCTAGTGATTCATATTTGGACAGATGAATTATCAAATTGTATCTTGTATTTTAAGGATTTAAATGTAATGAATTGTCTATGCATGTATGACGTTGTCGAAGATATACGAAATATAAGATTAAATATTTATTGATATCAGTTGCATCAGAAAAAGAAAATATTATAGTATTGTCTTCGTTTACAGTATTAATAATTATATATGACACTTGTCTTATTTTTTTATTTTTAAATATTACCTCCATAGCTTAAACGTCACAGTTACAATGTCATCACAATAATTATGATGATGTACGAATGTCCGCTTCATCATAAGTATTATTATGTCACAATGTCATGGTAGTGTGGCGTTGTCAAAAGCTTTTACATACAAGCTTTTATATGTTTTTTACATCATGGTTTTTGTAACATGTACTATTTTGTTATGACAACTTACAGCAGGCCTGTCCAATTTGAGCTTCGGAGCCAATTAAACGCAAAGCCATCAATGCAAAAAGATTCAATGTAAGATTCCGGGGACTGTTGATACGCAATCTAATAGCGTTTTTCACTGACAGAGCTGGTGCGTATTCAGTGCGCTTTAAAGCCGTTGTACACAAATCGACATAAAAATATACGTTTAATAAAAATATAAAAACAAATTAAACCACGAAATCCTTAATACATTTTATTGTGATATTTGATAAAATATACATTGGGTATTTTATTGAGATCTCTTACAGTCAGACTAGATAAAATGTACAACTTTAATGCGCACTGAATGCGCACCAGTTCTGCCAGTGAAAAATGCTATAAGGCTTCGTTTCACTTAACACTCGCAACGCTCGCGAGTATCGTTTGTTTAACATTCGGTACACAAGGATGAAATGATTCCATGAGCGAACGTTAAGTGGGAACGCAGCCTAGTGACGTTTATCAACACTTCGTAGTTCTAAAATTTTACTAACATTGAATTTTTTCACGTCGATGGTTTTGCGTTTTGGCTCCGGAGCTCAAATTAGGGCCGTGGTTCAATTCATGCTGGCAACGCTCGTCATTGTCTTTGTTTAACATTTGACAAACGAGGATGAAAAGATTTTGAAGCGTTGTGTTTTAATGCGTAAATCCGATCGCATGCCTAGACAGACATGATCTCCAGTAACATATTTTGTTTCGACTGACTATTGTGACGTAAATGTGACGTTCAATTCTATGGAGAAACTAAAATTCGCATTTGTTTTGACTAACCTGTTACATATGGCGGATTTAGGCAATCAATCAAAAGTCGCGACTTCGTTGTATTAACTCTTATTATAGGAACACTCATTTTTTTCTACGCGATTCATTTTTTTCCGACGAAAAACACGGGAGAGGCACGGAGCGATCTCACTTCAAGCTTCAAATGGCGCGAAATCAACATGGCCGCCGTATCGCGAGCACTCACTGCAAGGATTAAGGTGTCTTTTCATGCTGACGTTCGACGCTTATTTTTAGCATCAAAGCACAAGTCACACGATAAAAATTGACAAATATTAAGCGTTAATTTTGATCACGAGACTTGTTTCGATGTTAAAAATGAGCTTCGAATATCAGCAGGTGAAAATAAGACACCTTTAATTTATGCCTAGTTCAGATTGACAAGCGTCAAGCAACGAAGCAGTAACCAATCAACGAGGCGATATTTACAATAACATAAAAAATATCATTGGTTGGTTCTTACTCCACTGCTTGATGCTTGCTGCGTCTCCAGTCTGAACTAGGAATAATAAACACGGCCCCGATCGGACCGAAAACACCAATAATAATTTGGTAAAAATTAAAAAGCGAACAGACTGGAGCCAATATTACATGCGGCCATCGTTTTTGTTGTATGACAAATTTTTCAAGCGTGGTAATTAGCTGCGAGACAAAGAGGATTTCAGATCTTTTTGTTCTATAACCAATTAAAAAGCTTGAAAAATTTGTCGAAAAAAAACAAGCGCATGTAAAGCCTCGTCTACAATAGTCGCATAAGCGCTGTGTCGCATGTCATATGAAATGTCGCAGAAGTATCACATATAGTCGCATGACTGTCGTAGTCGCAAGAGTATGGAGAATACTCTTGTCGTACGAAGTTGAGGCAACTTCAACTTTCTGCGACTGTGACAGGCGTGAGCTCAGCCAATTACAGCACAGCAAGTTGATGTTTAGAATCTATTGTTAAATTATGTACAAACAATTGTTGTGACTAGTGTGGATGCTCATTTAGCGACACTCTTGCAGCATGCGACAAATTTTCCTGCGATGCTACTACTCGCGACATGCGACACAATCTATGCGATTATTGTAGACAAGGCTTAATATTGGCCTTAAGTTCAATGTCCACGATGCTAGAAATCGGTCCGAGATTTCGAACAGAAAAAGAATTAACAAATCACATTTGAACAATTTGGTCATATAATCAATGCGATTAATCAATTCTAGAGTTCCTCTAATAAGAGTTAAGATATAAGACCGAAAAAACGCCATTGCCGGATGGCCAAAAGCAGCACAATTCCATCATGGTTGATAGTCAATGCCCGTTTCCACCAATGTAGATTAACTTTAATCTGGGTTCAACTTACCCTTCGTCTTTTTCTAGTCAAATAAGTACAATATTATCAGTTTTTAACTCTCAATCACTTCAATATTCACAAGAAACGCGAACTCCCATAAGAATGTCGGTCTTTAATAGTATCTTATCGGTGCCACAATTGATCAGCCGCCATTTTAGTTAAGATAATATTTGAGCGAATCAGAAGCGTTCGCGCGCGCGCTGTGATCGATATATCGATCGATGTGCTATCGATGTATGGAAATCTATATGGACATGAATGATACGAAAAATTTGATTAAAAAAAATATCACTTCAATTTTATTAGTACATTTAATAAAATAATATTAATAATACTTTTCATATCCTACATTATTAACACATATGCAGGAATTGATACATTTAATACAAAAATTCTTACCTATGAAATGAAATGTCCTTTTCATTTCTCTGCTCACACCCAGGCACATAACACTTCATGTTGATGCTTTGCACATTTTACAATTACGCGATTTTATAATTTTTCAAAGTAATTTTTCAGATATAATCCCACACACGATGATCTTGCTGACATATGCGTCTCACTAAACACTAAGCGTAAGTGCGCATGAGCACCTGAAAGCTTCTGATTCGCTCTTATATTGACTAAATTAAAATGGCGCTGATCAATTGATGTTATGATTTTCTATGCATCACTGCGAAGATGTCCATTTCAGTGTATATATAGTTCAGTGCATCTAGGATCGATTTTTATCATCGTAAACATTGGACTTTAAAACCTTGTCGTCTGCTACGTGATGCACCATAACCCTTTTCAAAAATGACACAAATGTTCAACAGATTACTGTTCAATAGACATATTTATTTTTTATCTAAAAACAACAAAAGATTTGCCGGTCATAGCAAATGGCAAAATATAAAGCACATAAAAGAAGAAAATGATAATAAACGGATGGTATTGTTTCATCATCTGAAAATACAAATGATGATTGCAATACAAGGTAATGTAATGTTTATTATGTTATATTTATTAAAATAAAATCCCATATATGTATACGAAGCATACCAAACAGATTTTACTTGCGTGATTAATAGCTTTATTTGAATATATTTTTGTAACGTACTTTGTAAGTGTGTTTGCTATAAAATGCATTTAATTTTATTGCAATGAATAACAACACAGGTTAACACCAAAAATTTTTTTGATCTGGAGATTAAACTATGTATTTTGACTGTAAAACTGAATACAATGTGGAAGATCGCTTCATGTTACAATTTTTTCCTATTGATGAAATATAGTTTGATTTTTCAGCGTATATTGAACCTGTCAATTTGCATATTAACTTTATAAGCTTGTTTATTATCATTGAACTTACTTTCTCTCATTTACCTAAGGTATATTAAAAACTAGATCATAATTGACTGTTAAAATACAGAAAAATCGAGCTATTTTCTAATGAAAAAAAAAATTATAATTTGGATATCGAATTCAGTTTCAGAGATTCATCAAAATACATAATATCTCTGCATACATGGTCGAATCTCTGAATCAAATATTAAATTTTGTTTTGCTTATGTAATCTTAGTTGCATTATGCTACTGTGAAAAAAACAATCTCTTTTAGAGGGTGGCACTACAAACCCAAGTAATAATTTAAAATTATCACAAGTCATTGAACGAGCTAAAAAGGCGGACATGCCTGCAGCATCAATAAAGTCTTTGCTCGCTAAAATGGAGGCACGGAAAAACAAGACTCAAACAGGTGTAATAGAAGTTCGTGGGCCAAATGGTTATATCATGCTCGTATGTTATATAACGGATAATCCCAAGTCTTTTCTAATTGAGCTTAATTCAAAACTTAAAAAAACCAAGTATGAACAATATGTATATTTCTAACATGTATATATACTTATAAATATTCGAAATATGTTATACAAAATATTAAGCTTGTTTTCTGAACTAAACTCCTTGCATCATCCATCTTTTGCTTCAACATAAGAAAAGAAGAAAAGTGGACTGTGTAAGAAGTTTAGCTGAAAAGAAGAGGTCTAACATCTTAGGATATTTGAAAACAAAATTTTACTTTATTATACAAGATAAGTCAGTTAGAATGTTACAGATTTATATCTCGGAAACAAAGCATTTTAGAGAAAAATGTTTCATACAAAAGCTATATGGTTTGAAGAGGGACATAAGATGGCGCCATTGGTTTGATCTTGCAGAGTTGTTTCAAGATCGCAAAAAGATAATCACCAATTTCTTAAATGGGACCCCATATATTTCATTTCATATTCTAATAGCTTATCTCGAGAGCTTTCTAAAACACTGTAAAATATTTTTTCGTTGAATACTTTTGGAGTTATAAAGCTTGAAAGTTACAGTGCCGTCGGTATTAGCATTAACACCGACGAGATACTATTAAAGATTTTCGGCACTTATAAAAATTCGCGTGCCTGTTAACATTTAAGTGATTAAGAGTAATAAATTAATAATAAGGTACTAATTTCATAATTTATTAGTTTTGTACATATGTTTAGAACTTAATAATATTCGATTTTTAAAATTGTGATTTTAATGATATCATCCGAGGTTGGTTATCAATAGAGATGATAACTGCAGAGGAAAAAGTGTAATTTTTCGGCATATATAAGATATTATATCATTAAAAGTATGCATACTTATTTATACAGCATTTATGTAATAAAAAATCACGAATTTAATAATGTATCATCGAAATAATTATGTTAATAATCATAAATTTTTATTAATTGTCAGTAATGTTATCGTTCTTCTCAATTATCCCTGGGCCCCATTAATAGTCACGACAATTTGTTCATGGCCGAAGGTCTTTAATAGTATCTCGTCGGTGGCATTACCTAAGGTGTCCAATCAACTGGTAAACCTCTTGAATTGTTCAAGACTTAGATAACATTTGTCAAAATCATCGAGATTGTATTTCTTATTTTCATTTCTACATAAAAATGAATTTGTAGTGCAAAAATGAAAATAAAAAGAACCTCCAATGGCCTTGATCTTGATAAATGTTATTTAGATCATGATCTTGAACAACATTCAAGAGATTTTATCCGTCGGTCAGACATCTTAGGTAATACTAATTCCAGCTACACTGTAACTTTCATGCCTCATAACTTTAAAAGTACTTAATATAAAAATATTTTATTATAGTATTTTGGAAAGCTCTCGAAGTAAGCTATAAGAACACGCAATGAAATATATGAGATTCTATTTAAGAAATTGATGATGACGTGATCTTCAAACAACTTCCCAAGGTAAAACTAGTTACACGTCCTTTTCTTACGTCGCTTATACACCTTTTGTGTATGAAACGTTTCTCTCTAAAATGCGTTGTTTCCGATATAAATCAATAACATTTTAACTGACTCATCCAGTATAATAATCTATATTCAACATATAATTCTTTTATATAACAGCCATGAATTAAATACTTCAAAATATATGTCTTTTATCTAATATTTATTTTTTAATTTTATATATATAGAGGAAAAACCACAAATACTTCTGTCAAAAACATGTTTATTCATACGGGCAGTATCATAGTTAAAAAGAAAGGTAATTTGGAACAAGCTATGGAGGATGCTATTAACATTGGTGCGGAAGATGTAGAAGAATTCATGGAAAATGATATGGAATATTTCCAGGTATCCAATAAATACTTACATTCTAAAGAATTATAAATAAAATCTTTTGCTATAAATATGTGACGAAGAACATACATATTTGTATATACATATGGAAAAACATTATAATTTATATATATTTATTGTCAAAATTGCAATTTATTTACTAACGTTTTCTTTGTTACAGTTTAAATGCGATCCGAAGCTCTTAAACAAAATAAAAGGTCTTTTAAAAGATCGTGAATACTATGTACTTTTAGCAGAAGAAGATTATACACCAAAAATTGTAATAGAATTAAATGAATCAGATTTGGAAGCTGTTTCTCATATCCGCGAAAGAGTTTTGAGCTTAGAAGATGTCAATAAAATACATGATAATTTAGCATAATTTAGGATATTTTAGCATAAAGAATTATATATGTGTAAATAATAAAAAAAGATATCAATCATTTATACATTTGATATAATTATAATCAAAGAACTATTTAAAAAATTTAGAAAATATAAATTTTGTATATTATATATTTTTAAAAATTTGAACAAGAAATATAAAGTACTCGTATATTTCAAGCTATTTTGATATAAGATTTTGTTGTCTA